CGTACTATCGCACATGCAAACGAATATCACAAATCTTGCGATTTTCACCTAATTTTAGTCACGTCTGAATCTAACCAATTTCAGTTCCAACACTGGTAAGTGTGTAAATGCATAATGTTAATTCATATACCGTATTTACAGATCAGATGTGCATTGATAGAAATTCTGAAAAAATCGTGTCTTTGTTTGTTTCATTTATCGTTCTTTATATATACCTGTGGTTTTTTCTTTATTTTGTGTTGAATTGAAGATTTTGCCGGTGTTCTGTTGTTTTATATTTGATATGTTAGATGTTGAAGACTACATTTGAATTGGTAGTAGTTAAATTTCTCTGCAATCGAGTTTGGATTTTTGCTTCATTATCGTGGATCTATGTAATGGCTGATGGGTCCATTAGAAATTTCATTTTCCTGTTTAGTTTTTTGTCGAATTAGATTTCTAGGTATTGCTTATGAATAAACAATTGGTGGTATTGACTGGATATTTGTGGACACGATTCTGGAAAATAAGGAGTATAATTAGAAATCTTTTTATTTCCAAATGAGTAACACGGTTGGATTCCTTGGAAGAAAACTGATCTAATCAATTTTTGTTATTAAATTACTAAATAACACATACCTGTACATTGGATGCAGTTTCAAGCGATTTGCTTTGCTGCGTTTTCTATTTATGTCAGAAACAAATAGTAATTGTATACGTATATATTCGTGTGCATATACAATTTGGATAGCACAAAGGCAGAAAAATTTCAATTAAATTGCCTCATATATATAGCACGAAATTGTTTCCTATATGCTAATATAATGGGATAGTTTCCTCGTATATTTATATCTGTGTATTGGAATTTTAATAAACTTCACCATTTATAACTACGTATACAGTTGATGAATGTGCATTGTTTGAGCTGAAAACATTCAATTTCATTGGGTTTATATGAAGGCAGCTCTATTTTATTATTAACAACAAGGGTGGACGAAAAGCTTGTAATTAAGTTTTGCTCCCTGTTTATGAAGTCTGAGTAGAAAGAAACTAGTATTCTGATGCGAAAAATATTCTTTCCTCAGTGTTGATGACAACGTTGTGTACTCTGTCGATTGTGGCTTAGAGTGAGTGGGTTTGAGGATAGTTGCTCCAATATCCTTCTCCTGAGCAATGGCTTTGCCTTTGATTTCAAGAAAGAAACATTATGCTGCTGTCTTGTACTTGACTCTTTTATTTCAAGCATGTAATGGGTTTTATCTTCCCGGAAGCTACATGCATACATACTCAACAGGGGACGATATATATGCCAAAGTGAATTCTTTGACCTCAATTGAAACTGAGCTTCCCTTCAGCTATTACAGTCTTCCTTATTGCAAACCTCAAGGGGGAGTAAAGAAAAGTGCTGAGAATCTGGGAGAATTGCTCATGGGAGATCAGATTGACAACTCTCCATACCGTTTCCGCATGAATGTGAATGAGTCTGTTTACCTCTGTACTACTCTTCCTTTGAGTGAGCATGAGGTAACACTTTTGAAGCAGAGAACACATGATCTGTATCAAGTGAATATGATCCTTGATAATATGCCTGCCATGAGGTATACTGACCAAAATGGGGTTAAAATTCAATGGACTGGCTTTCCAATTGGATACACTCCTGCCAAAAGTAATGATGATTATATCATCAACCACCTCAAGTTTAGGGTCCTGATTCATGAGTATGAAGGAGCTTCCATGGAGGTAATTGGCACTGGGGAAGGAGGTATGGGTTTCATTTCTCGAGCAGATAAAAATAAGACTTCAGGGTATGAGATTGTTGGTTTTGAGGTTGTCCCTTGTAGTGTAAAATATGATCCTGAGAAGATGGCAAAACTCCACATTTATGACAATTTTTCAACAGTAAGCTGTCCCCAGGAACTTGACAAGTCTCAAGTTATAAGGGAGAGAGAGAGAGTATCATTTACGTATGAGGTTGAGTTTGTGAAAAGCAACATTAGATGGCCATCTCGATGGGATGCTTATCTCAAGATGGATGGAGCCCGTGTTCACTGGTTCTCAATTCTCAACTCGTTGGTGGTAATTTTATTCTTGGCAGGCATTGTTTTTGTTATCTTCTTGAGAACTGTGAGAAGGGATCTGACAAGGTATGATGAATTGGACAAAGAATCTCAGGCCCAAATGAATGAGGAGCTCTCCGGATGGAAACTTGTTGTTGGTGATGTGTTCAGAGAACCAAATCATTCGAAGCTACTTTGTGTGATGGTTGCGGATGGAGTTCAGATCACCGGGATGGCAGTTGTATCTATTGTTTTTGCAGCTCTTGGTTTCATGTCACCAGCTTCACGGGGAATGTTGTTGACGGGGATGATAATTCTTTACCTTTTCCTGGGAATTGCGGCTGGTTATGTTGGTGTACGTATGTGGAGAATGATCAAAGGTCATTCTGATGGGTGGAGTTCAGTTTCTTGGTTAATAGCATGCTTCTTTCCCGGAATTGTGTTTGTTATTCTCACAGCATTGAATTTTATCCTTTGGGGAAGCAGGAGTACTGGAGCTATTCCCATTTCTTTGTATTTCATACTTTTTTCTCTCTGGTTCTGCATTTCAGTGCCACTCACCCTCTTCGGAGGATTCTTGGGAACCCGAGCTGAGCCTATTCAGTATCCAGTTCGAACAAATCAAATCCCTAGAGAGATTCCTGCACGCAAATACCCTTCATGGCTTCTTATTCTCGGTGCTGGAACTCTTCCATTTGGAACCCTCTTTATCGAACTTTTCTTCATCCTTTCCAGCATCTGGCTTGGAAGATTCTATTATGTCTTCGGCTTCCTTCTTATCGTACTAATTTTGTTGGTTATCGTTTGTGCTGAAGTTTCTGTTGTCCTCACATACATGCATCTCTGTGTCGAGGATTGGATGTGGTGGTGGAAAGCATTCTACGCATCAGGTTCGGTTTCCCTTTACGTGTTCTTGTACTCCATTAATTATCTGGTTTTCGAGCTCCAGAGTTTGAGTGGGCCCGTGTCGGCAATACTTTATCTCGGCTACTCCCTGATAATAGCAGTTGCAATCATGCTTTCTACTGGCACAGTAGGCTTCCTTGTATCATTCTACTTTGTCCATTACCTTTTCTCATCAGTGAAGATCGACTGAAGACTTGCTTCAAGTGATAAGAATCCCAGTTTGCAGGGTATAGAAAATCCTACAGCAGCATAAGTTAAGAATCTCAGATTAATACTGAGCCATTTCAGTACCTAAATAATTTTTTTTTTTTTTAACCGATTATAGAACTTTCAATTCTTGTAGAGCTCGAATCTCATTAACAATTTTTGTTTATTTTAATTGTCATCAAATGTTATAACTTGAAAAAATTTAATTTGTAATAGAGGTTATTAGTTTACAGAGTATTAATTTATAGAGTTTGTACTGTATTTACATCTTAAACCCTATATTAATTAAGATATATAGGCAATGTGAAATTAGAAACGTAAAAAATGCATACGGAAAATATGTTTTGAAATCAAACATGTTTCTGTTGAGTTACTTTTTAACCTCTACAAAGATGGAAAATGACTTTGAATTTTGCCATTGAACTTTCATTTAATAAAAATTGATAAAATAATGCAAAGAATTTATTGGGTATAATGTTTAGGTTGGTGAGACTGAATAAGTTGCAAGAAAAAACAGAGTAATGTTATTTATAGTTGATCACTGCTGTAGTCGATCTATGTTGTTTCCTACATGATGGTTTGTAATTGATGTACAAATGTGATAATTTTTTCTTGTCCCATATATCAAATTATTAACCGCAACATGTATATCACGTAGAACAACTGCGATAGTGAATGACTGCAAGTAGTATTATTCGAAAAAATATAACCACGTTTTTTATAAAAATTTTAGGTAGATTTTGAAAATCAAAACTCTCCAATAAGATTAACAATTGATAATATTCGTTATCCCTTTCAAAATACAAAATTATTGCTTTTATACAACATTTTCAGAATTTAATGCCCCTACTTTTTCATATCCAGGTTTTCAAGTGCCATGTCATCTCACATCCCATCCTCAATTTTGCACCAAAATTTAAAGTAACTTTTGTACCATTTTACACAAAATCTTGCACCAAACTAAAAATCGTCTCCAAACATTACACAAAATGAACAATGTTTAATCATTTTATTCTCTTTTTTTATTCTTAATAATTTATTTATTAAAAAACACATAAATTACTAAAATAATTATGTTAAATTAAGGAAGATATTAAATTCATTAATATATATAAAAAAAGCATAGTACAATTAGTAGAAACACTACAAAAATGAAAATATTAAATCACGCTGTTAGAAAATAGTGCAATGCATTTCGAATTTGGGTATTATGATATTATAAAGTCAAAATCGTTATATTAGATCACGTCAAGATCTCAACTGTTCAATCTCTATATTGTTAAATCTTATCCTGTCATATTGAAGATAAGATATCTATCCAAATTCATCTCCATCGTTAGATTGGATTACGTTAAGATCTCAACCATTCAATCTCTATATTATTAAATCTTATCTTGCCATCTTAAAGATATGATATCTAGGCAAATTCATGTCTATCGTTGTTATAATATATTTCGTGTTAACTATAAATAATCACATTTGTTATATTTTAATTTTTTTTTGTATTCTATTTTAATTACTTAATTAATTATTATTATTATTACTTTAAATTTATTTTAAATGAAAATTATTATTATTGTATTAAAAAATATGTAACACAAAAAACACAAATATCCTCCATCTATTACTTTGACAAATGAAAAAAGGGGAAATTTAACTTTACACCATTTTTGCACCAAAATGGTGCAAACTTTGGTGCCACATTGGAAAGGTTTTGCACCAAATTTCTCCAAAATTTGGTGTTTTGGTGATAGCATTGGAGAAATTTGGTGTTTTGGTGATAGCATTGAAAATGCCCTAAACATGTTAAATTATGAATGAAGAAAAATTCCTCGAATGAGACGAACCAAATTGCACAGAATTCCACATGTATTACTTGTTTCAGTGTATATATAAATAACACTATTACGGTGATACACCTTTTTCATCACAGTCCAATCTCCCCAATAATATTATAGAACTGCACCATTTTTGTTGAATCTGGGCTCATTACTGGTAAGCATATGTCATTTGTAAGTTTTGGTGCAACCAACAAAAGCCTTTGGAACATATTCACAAGAATCAATCAACAGAAGCATTTAGCTTTAAATCAACAATTCCCTAGCTCAACCTGTTGCTTATGAGTCCCTCTATCGACCCGACTAAAGCTATAATGTTGCAAAGAAGGCCAAGTATTTTGAAAGCTTGAAGAACTGTCCATGTTCTTGTCCAAGCTCGTATATTATTCTGCGCAAGGTACATTTCCACAGGAAAATATATTGCCAAAGGCCAAAAATTCAGAGCGCCGATGACTCCTAAAACTTGGTTGAAATAAGGAAAAAGAATAGCCACTCCCGTTGTAGATGCAACGTATGCAGTTCTGAAGCAAAGCCGAAGAAGATTCAACTTGAAATCGTGCAGTAATGGGAGCTTAATTCTGTGTTCTTTATTCACAAATTTACTATTCGGATGCTTCTTTGAAATCCATCTCTCAGTTACTGCAAACAATGGCTGACTGTAGATCTGCAAGAGCCAAACATATGCAGCAGATATCATTAGCCAAGCTGATGAAAATTGACGCTTCTATAAAGTGCATTCCTCAACCTTCGATAAGACAGTAACAAAAGTGGATACGGATACATTCACAAATGCCAATATAGGTCCAAATGATCCATACCCTTATCAAGTCACAACATGAAATACCTGATATCCTCCCACAAGATGAAGAACTATACACGCATTGGCAAAGTCGATAAGCCAGTAGGGTTCATAAAATCCAAAGCCCGTTAACAGATTTCCAGGCGCTTGATTGCCAAAAGCAGCATATCCAAAACACCCACAGCAGAGAGAGAAGAAGCTGGAAATAATTATAGCTGTAGTTGACGCCTTCTTCATTGTCTTGTTTTCTGGGGGCGGTGTCTTTAGAGTATCCTACATTTACGAGTTAGTCATTAGCTTTGGCGTTTCACTTTAAAATCAAAACGGTAGCAAGTACTATTTGACACCTGTATGTCCAGAAGAATCGTATTGTACGAGAAAGAAAAAGCAATATCCCCAAGTGCTTGTGAGGAGAGCCATATTTTTTGAACTGATGCAGCTGTAGATACTCCACTAATATCTCCCTTGATTTCTCCGTCTCCTGCATTGCCATCTCAAAAGGCTAAGCATAAGAAAAATAATGGATTGATCTATCGGCAAAACATATTAAATTATGCTCCAATAATGTGCTTGTTATAAGAATGAATTTAAACTAAGATGATAGGCGAAGGAAAAGTAATGTTGAAATGAAAGGTACCTACAACTTTTGCGAGACTGAGTGCGAGTCCAATGAAGGTATATGAAAAGGACATGATTGTAGCAATTATTGAGAGCCACTCCATGTTATGAAAGTCAGGTATCTGAGAAAATAGTATTTGAACAACTCCAAATAGAAGGATAAAGAAACTATCGCCATATTCACATGGAGCATCGTGTCCTTCCTTGTGGTAGCAATTTGATTTAAGAATTGCCCTTAACAAAGAAATATCACCATAAATTATACTTATAACTAGAACCAACAATCCAATTAGTTGCTATCTGCTGTGAATAAACAACCTGACATGACAAATGAATAAAGAAACATGGATATCTAGGGAGAGTAAAATGAAAATTCCATATAAGAACTACTAAATCAAGATAGTTAACATTCTCATTCTTAAAGGAGTTAATAAAAAGTGGCCAAGTCCTATTTTTTCAGCGTGAATGAAAATAGTTAAGGTTTTGAATTGAGTTCGGTCACAAAGCATTCAAAACCAATTCACACTTAGTAGTAGAGTGACTCAAGGATCTCTCTGATATAATGGATTTCATACATTTTACTTGATCTTCCCCAGAATTTATGATCTATTCCGAATGTTTTTGAGCGGACTGACATTCCAATTCATTCTGTTGCGATATTTTTTAAGATACTCAAATCCACAAAACACTCTCAGACCAAGATCCTATACATGGCACATAGCCATTTTACAACTCGGCACAACCAAAAAAAGGAAGAAAACAGTTGAATGTCAATATTCACAACTTCATTATTTCCATCTTACCCATATTATTTGATTTAAAGATACTTTTGTTCAGACCTTTTCCCTTTGCAATTAGTGACTGAATTCTTGTTTTAGACCTAATCTCTCTGTCAAAACTAGAAGTACATCAATTATAATCTCCTTTTCGGTATTCCCAAGAACACAACACTAGGATTGAAGTTGGTTGAGCCTACTCAAAGAAAAAGAGCAAACTTAAAAAAATTAGATGAAGAACCTCATGCTGATAGCTGATGTTATGGTATAAGCAACCCCGCAGCCGTAATAGCCTTCTTGAACGAAGATTTCTGCGATCCACGAGTTCTTCTTGCCTGCAGAAAGAAAGAAAACTTGATGCTATTTACAAGGCATTTATCGGGGCAGTAACCGTTCGAATGAAAATTATTAAATGTAATCCACCTAAGTAACACCTAACAGCTTCAGCAAAAGATCTATTTCTGATGGGCCCAATTTCAGGATGAGGATATCTGTAACAATCACAAAGCAAGTTTGAAGAAATTATAGTCATTACACAGAACACCACCATGCATATTGGGCCTGAAATCCACCCCAGCTGAGCTACACTCCATGCCAGTGACAGCACCCCAGACCCTATAACTCCTGTTATTATGTGGGCAATTGCTGTCCATACAGTTCCTTCACATATAAACCAAATCAAATAAAAAAAACAATCCAAATTTCTGTCTTTTCTAATAAAAAGCCATTTTCTTCACAAAATCAAAATATTGAACAGACCTGTTCTTTTTGTGGAGTTCCTATGAGAGGACTCTGCAGATGATACAGAATCTCTGAGCAGAGTAGAGGTTTGTTCTTCCATTTTTCTCAACTTCTTCAACCACTTTTCTGATGTCTATTGGCTACAGCAAAGAAAGTTCACAATGTCACTCAACAATAGGTCCAATACCAACAAATATCATATTATGTTTGTATTAAATATTAACCCATTAAACTGAAAATTGACATCCTATTATTCTATACTTTCAATTAAAATTAATTTAAGTAGATAAATTTTTGACAAAATAATTATTTATAAGTAGAGTATAGAGGAGAAGTGGGACCTACATGATCAAATGTCAATACTTAAGAAAAAGAAAGGTATACTCTAATTAGTAATTAGTAAAGACTTTACATCATCTTTCCAGACTAGGTTCATGTTCGAAGGGGTTGATCGAGGAGGCGCAGACTTTAGATCTCTTTTCTTTATTACGTAACCTTGAAATAGCTTTTCAAAATACCTTGCTTTCTTCCTATTGTTCCTTTTATGTATGAGAATTTCAAACCAAAGCAGTAATGGAATTGTTGGAGGAAATTGAAGTTTTTATACAGGTGGTGAGTGTCGGTAGGGGTTTGTAAAACAGCAAAATTGTCTTATTTGGAAAGAGAAATTTTTATTTTACCGGGGCCACAATAGGTTCTGGGAGAATACGAAAGGATCTTAAAAAGGTCAAAAATATTCAAGAATGGAAAATTAAAAGCAGTATCAATTATTGGATACATTGTTGATCATGATATTTGTTTGGACTACTTGTTTTGTTATAAATACAATTTATTTTTTCCATGAAAATTGACCTATATATTATAATTTTTTTTTCTTTTGTCCCAATTCGACTGCCAACCATTTTCCTTCGTATATTTTTGCATAGCAACCTCTGTTGCACGAACACTTCAATTCAGGTGCCGTATTTATGTTCAACACGTGTTAAATACCAAAATTCACTGTATACTCTGCCATGGTCATTTTTCTTTCTTTATCAATAATATTATAAATTTTGAACTCAAAATTATTATTAGATAACAAATATGTATTCATATTTAAATGATTTCAACAAGAAAAATTAATAATATCAAGTATAAACTAAATTTATACTATATAAGTGGAGAATTTCTAAAATTTAATCATGTCGTCGATGTGCCCTGTCAATATTTTTTTAAAAATTTGTGTGGTGGTGTGTCCGACATAAAATCCCATCAATAGATTTCCAGGTGACCCATTGCCAAAAGCAACATATCCAAAACATCCACAGCAAATAAATAAGGCGGTGGTGATAACTAGAGCTGTAATTGACACCTTCTTCGTCATTCTGTTTTCTGGTGGCGATATCTTTAGAGTATCCTACATTTACAAGATTCAAAAAGATCGATAAATCCATTAAAAGATTGTGTCAGATCACATTATATATATCCATCAAGTACTTTTTATGCAATAGCAATATCCCCCATTCCTTGTGACGACAACCGTACTTTTTGAGCAAAGTAGCTCTACATACTCCACTAATACCTTCCTTGATTTCTCCATCTCCTTGATTTAACAACTGAAAAGGTTAAAACTAAGAAATAATACATTGCCATTGTTTTCACAGAAGATCCTCTGAGGATTGCTTTATGATTTTTCATACAAATTAATTACTATAAATGTTTCCATCATATGTCCTTTGAGGAATTCCTGTCCTTTTGAAGCTGTGATCCGGTAGTTAGGAGCATCAATTGAGACTGTTGGTGAAATTGATGCCCCCCACAATATCCATTTAGGGCAAGCATACTAAACTACGCTTCCCTGATTCACATTTTCTAAGAATGAAACCAAACTTAAATGATAGACTAACGAAGAGTGATGTTGAAGTGAAACGTGCCTACTACTTTTGCAAAAGCGAGTATTGGTCCAATATTGAGGGTATATCCAAAGGACATGGCAATTATCCATAGCAACTCGATAGATTATATGAAAATATTGGCCATGAAGGAGAATGTAACATGAAAATATTCATTCAAGGACAACTAAATTGGGCTGGTTAACATTCTTATTCATGAAGGCATCAACTGAAACAGTCACTAGCAAGTTTTCAGATTCAGTTAGGTTACAATAACATATAAAACAGCCAGTTAGCTATTCCTAATGTTTTTGGGTGGGCCAACATTCCAAATCAATCTGTCAATGAAATGTTTTTCAAGCTATGATTTCACAACCGAAGAAAGAAAGGAACACATGGAATATAACTACTCCTGCAGTTTCTGACCAACTAATGATGAACAGAACTGTTATACCAAGCCCCTTGTTACAAATCTATACAAAGTATCTCTTGTTTTTCAATCCCATTCCCATAAGACATCTCAAGCAGTCTCCACAACCAAAGATTAGTATCCACGTGATTGACAATGACATAAAAACCATGCCACGCATGGACAAATGGTTACCTACTGTTGAACTCGAAAATTGGACCTTTCACGTGGTCAACCGATAGCGACTCCACGTATTCCTCCCTGCGCACAATCAACGCATGATCAAACGCACACGATCGAGACCAGCGGGGATGCTGGCGGTCATATACACTCCGACGGTCAAGTCAGGTTTAGATGGTCGGAACAGCGCCTAGAGGTTCTACAAAAAAATAAGAAAGGGGAGGATAAAATATATAAACTTGCTATGGAGTGCTATGTAGTAAGAGTTTCATTACCTTTACCTCTTGCTAAATCTTGGGTATTTATAGGTAGGATGAGCCGTTGGATGTGGGACACGTGTATACATCTGACGGTATGAGGCGTCCGCTCATAGGCGTCAATCAGCCTCGTCTGTAGAGTGGGCGGACAGCTTATTTCTCCTAAGTTGAATTGACAAAAAGTTGATAAGTCACATCAACTAGCCTCATGGAGACGTCAAATCAATTTAAACCTTAGGTGCAGAGAGAATCTTGGCACAAATCTCTTTTTGAAATTAGCGGCAGATCTTCTAACAAAGGTCTACTTGGCCTTGGCCTTGGAGGTGAAAAGCTTTGGTCAGTTCAGCAGGATCGCATATACCTCACAGTGTGCTACTAGGTTGTTGACATTGGTGATATCACTTCGAAAACACTTCGGACGGGTGTCTATCAGGTCGGAATGTGTGGTAGTGGGCATTTCGAGGCGGTTCAGATAGGGGCGTAACAGTGGTCCCCCCAAGTCCAGGTATGAATATTTATATCATGGGTGGACTTGCTTTCCTGACCAGATGTATATGTCTCGGTACTGGGGACCGCGACTCGTGGGAGCTTGGGGGTCGATCTTTTGCAGTAATCGAAGCCATGATCTTAGGCAGATGTGCCGAAGTTTCGTTACTGCGTAAAGGAAACAATAACCAATGTGAGGTCGAAGCGCTGCAAGACGAGACGATTAGTAGGAAAAGAGGTTAACACGACGACCGAGGCGATGACCCAAAGGAGACTCGCGTTAGGCGCGTGTAGCCTATGCGAAGTTGAGTGAGTAACTCATCTGCCACCAGTGCGCTGACCCGCTTGGGACGACGTGTTGGGAGATAGCTAAAACTTTGTAAAGTTAGGGAGGGAATGCAGCGTCCGAAGCGATGACCCACAGGAGACTTCGCGTCAGGTGCGTCCAAACTTTGTAAAGTTGAGTGAGGAGCTCATCTGTCACCGGTGCGCTGACCCACAGGGCCGACGCGTTGGGAGATGACTAAAACTTTACAAAGCTTGGGAGGGAACGCAGCGTCCGAGGCGATGACCCACAAGGGACTTCGCGTCAAGTACATCCAAGCTTTGTAAAGTTGAGTAAGGAGCTCATCTGCTACCGGTGCGCTGACCCACAGGGCCGACACGTTGGGAGATGGCTAAAACTTTGTAAAGCTTGGGAGGGAACACAGCGTCCGAGGCGATGACCCATAGGGGACTTAGCGTCAAGTGCGTCCAAGCTTTGTAAAGTTGAGTGAGGAGCTCATCTGCCACCGGTACGCTGACCCACAGGGCCGACGCATTGGGAGATTGCTAAAACTTTGTAAAGTTTGGGAGGGAACGCAACGTCCGAGGCGATGACCCACAGGGGACTTCGCATCAGGTGTGTCCAAACTTTGTAAAGTTGAGTGAGGAGCTCATCTGCCACCGGTACGCTGACCCACAGGGCCAACGCATTGGGAGATGGCTAAAACTTTGTAAAGTTTGGGAGGGAACGCAGCGTCCGAGGCGATGACTCACAAGGGACTTCGCGTCAGGTGCGTCCAAACTTTGTAAACTTGAGTGAGGAGCTCATCTGCCACCAGTGCGCTAACTCACAGGGCCGACGTGTTGGGAGATGGCTAAAACTTTATAAAGCTTGGGAGGGAACGCAGCGTCCGAACCGATGACCCACAGGGGACTTCGCGTCAGGTGCGTCCAAGCTTTGTAAAGTTGAGTGAGGAGCTCATCTGCTACCGGTGCGCTGACCCACAGGCCGACGCGTTGGGAGATGGCTAAAACTTTGTAAAGTTTGCGAGGGATGGTAGCGTCCGAGGCGATGACCCACAGAGGACTTCGCGTCAGGTACGTCCAAGCTTTGTAAAGTTGAGTGAGGAGCTCGATCTAAGGCGATTCAATCGTCAAATGATTTGACAACTACTGCGTATTTCCAAGGTGACAGTTGGGTGCCATGCCCATTCTCCTAAAAGGCTGCTGCGGCTACTTATTATTATTGACGACTGGTGGTGACCGAGGTGACGCGTTTTAAGCGAGCGTGAAGGTCACAGCGATATCTTGGGCATAGATCAAATCTGGCATTTCATTTCAATTGCCTAGATTGAAGATGCGACGAAAGGCTTAGATTGATCGCATTTGAATTCAACGGTGGAGATTGGATGGGTCTTTCTATAAAAGGCGGACTCTGAGCTTTTCTCAAGCTTTCTACTCTTGCGAAACAAACACTGTATTTTGCTCTCAAGTCATTGGCGATTTTCGGCATTTTCTAAGCAATTTCGGTGAGAAAATTGAACTTCCAGCGAGAAACACCAATATCCGGTGACCTTACACCATTCCCAACTAGGAAAACCTTCAAACTCGTAAGTTTCAGTACCTTTTAGGATTTTTAAATTCTGAAAAAAATGGCCTCTGAGGGGAGTTCTGGTTCGAGGAGGGGGTTAGAACTAATAAGGATGGACGAGCCCATTGTGGCGACCTCCTCAGAAATAGTCGAGGTGATAATAGGGGAAAAATTACATGGAAGCGACCGAATAGCCCAGCAGATACTTCTGTGCACTGGGGCATCGGACTACCCATCCAAATTAAGAGAGGCCGACCTGGGAGACTTAGGACATAGTATAGGATCCCTGATAGCATAAATCTGATCCTCCCCGGGCCTAAAGAGAGGGCCTGCTACCCTAGGCCGGGTTGTGTGGCCATTAGCGAGGCGATCCTTAGGGCCGAATTTAGGCTGCCAGTTCACCCATTCTTTAGGATAATGCTTAGATCCTATAGGCTAGCCTGACGCAACTCAATCCGAACTCCTGGAGCCAAATGGTGGGCTCCTGGATGTTGTGGAAAGAGGCGTCATTAGGGATGGAGATGCCCCTCTCCATCTTCCAAACCCTTTACATACCTAAGGTAACTGCCGGGGGGATAAGACCCGGGGTGGTACTACCTTACTTCATGGGGTTCCCACACTCCATTCGTGCTCGATCTGTCGAGCTCCATCAAAGAATGGAAGAGCTCGTGGTGCTGGGCCGCAGGGCGATAGGACACGATGGAAGGGGACCCCCTGGCACCTCTTACAGTCCCGACGAAGTATTCAACACTTAGTGAGTATAGTAGTTGTTTTTCCTTATATTTCTCTTCGGTTCGAATCATACCTAATATTTGCATTTCCTTTGTAGGTGTTCTTTCTCGGTGCGAGCTGTTATCCGAGGACTTCGAAACATCTACATCATTTATCAGCTGCCTCGAAAGAAAGGTCTTACCATAGGCTGATCCGAACGAACATTCACTTCATTACTCACGACCTGATGGCATCCCAAGGTAACTGGACCGAAGTCTTTACCCTTTATTCTGAACTCTCAACACTTGTACTAATTCATCATTCGTTCTTTGCAAACAACTTTAATAAGAAAATGTCCGTGCGCCCCGACTTTAAGACCATCCAGACGATGATGGCAGAGGCACGGGCATTGAAGGCCCCCTCCTCCTCCTACAAAAAGCAAATGGAGGATTTGGTGGACGCCAGTAAAAGGCTTCAACCTCCGACGGAGGAGGAGGTACCGGAGGACCCGGAGGCTGACCTTTGGAGGAAGGGCAAGAAGAGTGCCATCCCTCCAAAACGTCCAACTGTGCCGAGGCCATCCCCTGTTCTGAAGCAAACCACAATTCCAACCGGGGTGGCCATTTCAGAGAAGAGGCCTGCTCCATCTGAGGTTGCCACTGCCCCGGCTACAACACCACTTGCTGCTGTGCCAATTGCTCAAGTGTCGTGGCAGCAGAAGAGAAAAAAGGCCTCGTCCCTCTAAGGAGGTCGACTTTTTGGGCACAAATTCGGAGGAGCCGGTGAAGGAAGTGTTGGAGGCCCTTCCTCCAGAAACAGCTGCAGTGGTGATGGTCCACAGCAAATACTGGACCGGGGAATGGAGGGACCACACCACCTCGTGCACAGCTGAGGACTTGGTGGCTGCAAATAGAGCCTGCGTGGCTCGAGCCCTGAGTACAAGCATCTAACTTGAGGGCTTGGTGAAGGATCTGAACTCCGAGAGGGAAGACCTCGCCAAGCGCCAAGAGGAGGTGATGCACTATGGGGATGCCGGGCAAGAGGCCCAGGCCAAGGCCATGCAGGTGAAGGAGGGAAAGAAGGAGGCTGAGGCCCAGCTAACTGCTGCCAAAACAGAAGTAGAGTGGCTGAAGAAGGAGTTATACGAGGTGGAGTGCCAAGTGGCTGCTGTGACTCGACGACTTGATCACGCCAACGAGCAC